GGTGTCTTGGGGTATTTCCTCCCAGATCTGGACCAGGGTATCACTGAGCTCCTGGACAGTCTGAGGTGCAACCTGGCGGCATCAGATGGACCGAAACATGACATCCCAGAGGTGTTCTATTGGATTTAGGTCAGGCAAGTATGGGGACCATTCAATGGTATCAATTCCTTCATCCTCCAGGAACTGCCTGCATATTCTGACCACAGGAGGCTGGACATTGTCGTGTACCAGGAGGAACCCAGGGACCCACTCTGCACTAGCGTAGGGTCTAACAATGGGTCCAAGGATTTAATCCCGATACCCTTATAGCAGTCAGGGGTGCCATTGTCAAGCCTGTAGAGGTCTGTGCATCCCTCCATGGACATGCCTCCCCAGACTATCACTGACCCACCACCAAAAACTGTCATGCTGAAGGATGTTACAGGCAGCATAACATTCTCCAGGGCTTCTACAGACCCTTTCATGCCTGTTACATGTGCTCAGGGTGAACCTGCTCTCATCTGTTAAAAGCACAGGGGTGTGTCAGGGATCCCCTCGATCACTGCCGCGATGGTCCCGGCGCAGGCGCACTGCTCCGCCTTGTAAAACGGGCACTAGGTCCGGGCCGGGCCGGCGCGGCGTTCGAGTTCGCGCATGCGCAGTAGAAGCCGCGGCCCGCCCGCTGGGCACCCAATGGCAGCGCAGGGCGGGATATTTAAAGGTCCCTGAGCTGTCATTTCGTTGCCTTCTGGTCTTACCTGCTTCCTGTGATTCTGTACCTGTGCCTTGTAAGTTTATTGACCCGGATTGTTCTTGACCTGCTGATTTCTCCTGCCCAGACCCTTGCTTGCCTGACCTCTCTCCCTGGATGCCCCTCATTAGATCTGACCTCCTGTTGCCTGCTCCCTTGTACCTTACCGTCCTCTACGTTACCAACTCGGCCTGTCTGACTTCGCACTTGCTCAGCCATCCATCCATCCATCCCATCGGGGTCACCCAACCTCCTCACATCTGGCTCTCCCCTGGTTGGAGCCCCTGGCGAACACCCCTACCACTGACAGGTGTGCTCAGTAGTGGCGACCTGGTCTCGGGGGTACTACACAGTCCATCCCCACCATCAGGGGCCCTGGTGAACAAGTACCCTGGGGCTTAGACTCCGCGCTCTGGGCACGCCTGACCAGTGGAGTGCTAGTGGTGCCGCTCGGCGGTCCCTCACAGTACCAGAAGGCCATGAACTGAGCCTCGAGGAGGACCCTCGCCGTTGGACGAGGTTTTGCAGGCACCTGGCTACCCTGACGCAAGCGGTAAACACATTACAGGGACAGATGTTTGCAGATCGAGAATCGGTTTCAGGCCTGCACCATATTTGCTCCTGTTTTCACAGGCCCCCGGCTTCTGCACCGCCAGTCGCAGCAGCCCACGGGCCGGCTCCTGGCCTTCCACATCACTCCCTATGGCGGAACCCCGGAGAGTACCCTTACCCGAGCGCTTCCACGGGGATCGCACACGCTTTCGGTCATTCCGTGACTCCTGTCCTGCTCTACTTTGAACTGCAACCACAGACCTTTTTTGACAGAATCGGTGAAAGTGGGGTTTGTTATCTCCCTGTTGCAGGGTGAACCCCAAGACTGGGCCCACCGACTAAGGGGAAAATAATGATCCTCATCTGGTTACGGTTGACAACTTCTTTAACGCTATGGCCATCTTATACGATGACCCACAACGGGCGGCCTCGGCCGAGGCCACATTATACGCACTCCGACAAGGTCGGCGGGCGGCTGAGGAATACGCCTCTGACTTTAGGCGCGGGATGGATGGTGACACTCGTTGGAACGAGTTCGCACTTTTGCACCAGTTCCGTATGGGCCTTTCTGAGGCTCTGAAAGACGAGCTCGCCCAGGTGGAGGTGCCCGAGACATTAGAGGACTTGATTGCACTCACCATTAAAATTGACCGTAGGCTACGGGAGCGCAGATTGGAGAGGTCCTGGTCAGGGTCGCGGAAATACCTGGGGGTCTTTCCAAGGATCCAGTCAACATACTAGGCCAAACATCCAGAACCTGAAGATGCTCCCGAACCCATGCAGCTAGGCCTTGCCGGCACGCCTAAACTATCGCCAGAGGAACCCCAGCGCAGACGCTCCCAGAATCTGTGTCTCTACTGCGGTGCGGTGAAGCGGGTCACATGGTACGTTCCTGCCCGCAGAAACTGAGTAAGTTCACCTCATCTTCTTTATCTATTGGCAACATGAATCCGTCCCAATACTTAGTTGTTCCCCTCCTTTCAGCTTTCAGTTTCGGGGGCATGCAGCTGTATTTGTGGATATCAATTTTGCTCACCAGCAGGGTATCCCCCTCCGCCCAAAGGAGAAGGGGTTTCACATCTTTTTTGGCTGATGGCTGGCCCGGATAAAGTCAGGGGGTGTGGTTAACAATAGGAGACCCCTTCCATTGTGACTTTCTATTGCCGGTCAAGACACCAGGAACTCCTACCGCCTGGATGCTATTGCATCACCCCTTTTCCCAGTCATTCCTGGGGCTCCCATGGTTGCGGGTCCATAACCCCCAAATTGACTGGGAAACTGGGGTTGTCTCGTTCCCTTCCCCATACTGTACGGGAAACTGTGTCGAACTTCGGGCCCGGAGGTCTCCCAGGTCCTCCTCTGCTCTGAAGGCAATGCCAGCCTAAAACAAGTGATTCCTGCAGCCTATCATAAGTTTCTTGATGTGTCAGTGAACGGGGAGCAGTATGCTCTACCCCCCACCGCCATATGACTGTTTCCTATTGATCTGTTTACCCGGTTCTGAAATTCCTTTTCGGGCGAATTTTTTTCCCCTTTCTGAGCTAGAATTAGGGGCCCTGAAGGATTATAATTGAGGACAGCCTCCGTTAAGGGGATTCATCGTCCCTCCACTATCCCCAGCAGGTGCAGGGATCTTCTTTGTAGAAAAGAAGACAAGACTTTGAGGCCATGTATTGACCTATCGGGAGCTGAATAGGGTCACAATTAAAAATCGTTACGCCCATTACACTATGGTACTGAATTATTCCAGAGCTAAAAGCTGCAGTAGTAATTTACACCAAGCTGGACTTAGGGGAGACCTACAACTTGGTTCAGCATAAGGGAGGGGTGGATGAGTGGAAAACGGTCTTCCGCACCGAGACCTTTTTCGGCCATTTTCGAATACCTGGTCATGCCTTTCGGGTTGTGCAATGCACCGGCCACCTTCCATCCAGCACTTTGTAAACGACATCTTTAGGGACTTCCTGGACATCTTTGTCATCGTCTACTTAGACAGACATTTTGATTTTTCTCATCCTCCCTGGGGGAGCACAGGCGTCTACATGTAACAAAGGTGTTGGGGCGGTTGCGGCAGCACGGGTTGTACGCTAAGCAGAGAAATGTTGCTTTGAACGGCTATAGTGTTACATTTCTGGGTTCTGATTATCTCCACCACGGGTGGTCGCAATGGACCCTCAGAAGGTCTCTGCGATCCTTGATTGGTCTGAACCCCACGGACAGGAAAAGCGTCCAACGTTTTAATTGGGTTCGCAAACTTCTACCGGAAGTTCATCAAGAACTTCTCGGGTCTGGTCTCCCCCATCACTCAGTTAACCAAGCTTGGGACGCGATTCAGATGGGACGCCAGAGGCACAGGAAGCTTTTGAAGCACTAAAGAAGTTATTTATACCTCGGCACCCATTTCTGGGTCATCCCGACGCCTCCCTGCCCTACATCTTAGAAGTAGATGCGTCAGAAAACGCGGTTTGGCTCCATCCTTGCTCATCCCGTTCCTCCTTGCACAAAGGAGCAAATACCGGTCCTGCTTATGGGTTTTAAGGACCTTCTATAGCCCTGTTCAGCTCTCCTAAAGTAATTGCCTGTCTCCTGGAATCTCCTCCATGCTCCTGAGACTGTGCTGGAAGACACAGCAAAACCTTCTGGCAATGGCACGTATTGATGTCAGTGGCGCCCCACTCCTGTAAAAAACCCTTCCTGTTTTGGGGGTATTGTCTCATTGTTGTTCATCTAGTGGTCCTGCTGTTAATGTAGTTAACACCAAAGCAGCTGAAACTGATTAACAATCCCCTCTGCTACTTTAACTGACCAGATCAATATCCCAGGAGTTAATAGGAGTCTAATTGACATTGAAATGCTATACTCTGATTAAAAAGTTGTTCCTTTAATTTTTTTGAGCAGTATATATATAATATATATAATATTATAGTATATAAAACGTATAACAATATAAAATAACATTTAAATACATACTATTGCAAAATAATTCTGCAGCGCCACTGGAAAATGAATTAACAACACTTGCCTACAGGCACTTATACCCCCTTCCTTACCAGCCAATTTTCAGCTTTCAGCGCTGCCGCACTTTGATTGTCAATTGCGCGGTCATGCAACATTGTACCCATATGAATTTTTGATCATTTTTTTCTCACAAATAGAGATTTCTTTTGGTGGTATTTAATCGCCACTGGGCGCTTTACTTTTTGCGCTATAAATTAAACAAAATTGCAAAAAAAATTAAAAAAAAAAAAAAGTTTCTTTTGTTCTATTATAAAATTTTTTCAAAAACAGGTAATTTTTCCTCCTTCACTGATGTGCGTTGATGAGGCAGCACTGATGGGCACTGATAGGCGGCACTGATGGGGGGGGGGCATTGATAGGCAGCACTAAAGGGCACTGATAGGCAAGTACTAATGAGGTGCCACGGATAGGCGGCACTGGATAGGCAGCACTAATGAGGTGTCACGGAATAGGCGGCACTAATATGCAGCCACTGATAGGCGCGGCACTGATAGGTGACACTGATGATGGGTACTGATAGACGGCACTGACTGGCATCACTGCTGGGCAACTGACTGGCGGCACTGACTGGCACAACCGCTGGGCACTGACTGGTGGCACTGACTGTCACGCACTGCTGGGCTGCACTGGTGGGTGGCACTGGTGGGGCAGCACTGGTGGGTGGGCAACAGGTGGGGTGGACTGGTGGGCACAGGTGGGTGGGCACAGGTGGGTGGCACTGCTGGGCACAGGTAGGTGGCACTTCTGGGCACAGGTAGGTCTGACATTGCAGAGTGGCACAGGTGGGTGCACTGCTGGGCACAGGTGGGTGCACTGCTGGGCACAGGTGGGTGATCTGCTGGGCACAGGTGGGCGGAGCTAGTGGGCGCACTGCTGGGCACAGGTGGGCGGAACTTGTGGGTGGCACTGCTGGGCACCGATCATCAGGGCACTGATCATCAGTGCCCTGATGATTGGTGCCGATCCTCGCTCTGACAACTGCCGGTTCTCGGCAGTACTTTCCTCGCGATCTGACAGCGTGAGGAAAGTGCAGCCGAGAACCGGCACTTGCATTTCCCTGTGATCAGCGTGTCATTGGACACCGCTGATCACGTGGTAAAAGGCCGGTATGATTGGCCTTTTACTTTACACACACATCTCGTGATCAGCTGTGTCCGTAGGACACAGCGATCACGGAGATCGCCTGGTGCGCGCCCCCTGGGCGCGCAGGAGAGCGCGTTCTGGGGGGACGTTCATATGACGTCCACCCAGAACTGGCCGGGCCGCAGTGCAGCCATCATTCGGCTATCTGCGTGTCGGCAACTAGTTAAATGCCAAAACAATTAAATGAAACACAATCAATAGTTAAAATACAATGTGTGTTGTGCTTCATTTTGTTTGTTTTTGTGCAATTGGACATGGTGGTGGAGACACACTTTGTTCACAAATTTTATTTTTATATATATTTTATTTTTGTGGACACTTTTTTTTTATTGCGGTAATGTATACATTCAATCTTTTTTAATCTTTTTTTTTATTCTTGAATATTATTAAATAATTTAAATTTATGTTGTATATTTCATTGATTGTGTTTCATGTCACTTGGTATTTGATTACTTTTCCATTGTGGCTGCACAATTATTTTACTTTATTTCATGTTAGGTTGGTGTATTGGCTTATTTGGTTGCTAGCTGCCTAATCCCTATTAGCACTGACTTTCTAACACATATATACAGTATTACATATTATTAATAAAGTGAAGCATTCATCCTATAAATAGTTGGTCAATAATAAAAGTCATCAAATATTTCTAAGTAAAGCAAGCACCAGGAATTGTTGATCCTGGAAATATCCGATTGCCTCCTGGGGGATCAGGAAGGAATTTTTCCCCTGCTGGAGCAAATGGGACCATGCTTCATAGGGGTTTTTGTCTTCTTCTGGATCAACTATGGGTATAGGATTGTGTTTATGGAGATTTTCTATTTATTTATATTTCCCTTTGGTTGCCATAAAAATGGACTTGTGTCTTTTTTTCAACCCAACTATGTAACTATGTAATAACAAAGTGCAAAGTTTATAATAAATCAATCAGTAATAAAGTGCAGATGTATTAAATTAATCATCCTTAGGGCTCATGTACACTGCAGCTGATAAACTCACGTTCAGAAGCTTTTCTGCGTTTTTTTCAGCAGCCCCTGAGCTCTCCCTAATGTTTTCCTATGTGTCCATGTACACATCGTTGTTTACAGTCAAATTACAGGCAGCTGAGTTTGAAGTCGTTTTTTTTAACGCACCAAACTTGCCTTCAGGAGTATATTTTATCAGTGTTTCAAATACTTTGTAAACACGTGAAAACCTGGCTAACTTGCATGTATAAGTTTTTTCATTTAGAAGCGTTTTTTAACTGTTCCATATCCAGATGCTGTCCAGAGCCTTTTTTCCCCATCGGAAATGCATGCAAAGCGTTTTCCATGTATTCAAATGGACCTAGCACACCAGCGCAGTCAGTTCCAGGTTTTTCGTAAAGGAAAAAAATGGTAGAACATGCCGCATTATGCTCATGATGGGATCCATAGTAAATACAACCAGAAAGACAGGTCATCTCAACACATACTGCTCTCTCTGCTTCTGCTCTCTCTATTTCTCTCAAAATGTCTGAAATAGCTAATTTTTTACCGTTTTTCAGTGCATTCTGGGCATTTGGGAAGGTCTCCTGATGTTATCTGTAAAAAACGCTTCTAAACACAAACGCGCATAAACGCGGTATGCAAACGCAGCTAAACAAATGTTTTTTAACCTACGTTTTCCAGCAGTCAGTTTCCATCGTTTCAGAAGTGTTTTCCAAATGTCCCGTGTACATGGAGCCTTAGTGTGCAAACATAATACATAATTCTGTTCTATTTTACAATCCTTGTGCAACGTTTGTTTTAAAAAGTTAGTGTGAGATCAGGGAAATCTCCATACAATCCGTGCAAAAAACACTCTAAAAATTTTTTCTACATAAAGAGTGTATTTTTTTTTTAAAAAAATGCATAGTGATTTTCACAGTGAAAGAGCATGCAACTGTGCTCTGTGCAAATGCAGCAAAAAAAAAGTTATTAGGCCATTTCCTGTGCTCTTTTGATTTAAAATGGAAAATACTGTATATAGCCAGTAGATGGCACTAAGTATCATTACTATGACACTTAGTGCCATCTACTGGCCATCTGTGGCATTTTCCATTTTAATTCAATAAAAAACAATTGACCAGCACAGGAAATAGCCTAATGATATTTGTTTTTTGTCACATTCACACAGAGCAAATGCGCATGCACTTTCCCTGGACAAAATGCTATGGGATTTTTTTTTGTTTTGTGCACTGATGTATGGGGAGGATTTCCTTGCTCTCACACTGACTTTTTAAACACATTTATTCTACTTTGTTTGAATTTGAACTCTAATATATGCAGTTTACATGTAATTAGATCTGGTAGCTGAATTTGTTTGTTTTTTTTCATTTTTTTTCTTTTAATTTTTACCTCTTTTATTTTTACCATGTGTATTTTGCAATCCTATGAGTAACAGCAAGATGTCCATAAAAACACTATTTTATAAAAAGCAAGATGTCCATAAAATAAATTAAAATGTATAGTAAAAGCCATGTCCATCGGTTATGATCAATCAGCAAATTTAAACTATGGTGGATCAATGCGTTTTCGACCCAAAAAAGATCTTCCTCGGGATCCATTTTTCTGCCTTCCTTGTGGGATATGATAGCTGACAGGTGATATAATAAACAAACATCACACAGTATTCAATACAATCAATTATAATACATCAAAGAAAAAACAATACAATAAAGAAAATCATATGTCTTAATAAATTCTTGTGCCACCTGGTGGAAATATGAAAGGGAAGAGACGGGACCACAAAAAAAACCCCACAAGCTGACCACATATGACATACACAGGCAATGACACACTCTCACAACCTCCTGGAGAGACAGCAGTAACCCACTAAGGGGGCACAGAAGGTAGAAAGCAAACAGCGGGACACATCGCTATACTTTTCTTAATGTTAAGTCTGTAGTCAATAAAACGATAAAATGTAATGCAAAATATGAAGCAAACCATCAATCACATAATACAGGATACCCTCACATGGGATGGCTAAAAATAAAAAAATGACCGAACACACCCCCCCCCCCACATCTTCTCAAAGATCGCTTAGAAAAACAAACTACAGTAACTGATAAGAGGCAGCACAGGCAGAGAGCATGGGAAGTTATCAGTGGATAAAATTTTTTGGCAGGATCAATGTCTATTTTTTTTTACCCTTCTCGAACAGCTATAACAAAATGCTTGCAATTCAAGGGACCAAATAAGTAACATTTATTGTTAGGATTTGGATACCCTTGAGATCACTTTACTTGGACATGGCATCATATTTTTTCTTGCTTGGGGCTTGTTGTACAGTGAGATGGAATACATTGGAGAGAAACCACTACAATGTGCTTTATGATCATCAGTACACAGAAACCATTGTCGACAGATTTGTATTCTCTTTCTTCATGTATTGCATTAACACAGTGTGTAGAATATTCCGCTAATCATACTGAGAACATCTACCATCAAATCAGATGATGGCAATTCAATGTGACAGTAAGATGACAGCATGAGATTGTTCTCCTTCTTCTGCTCATCATACTGAACATTCCTTCATCACTGAAATGTGGAACATTTGTACATGAAAGAATGAAAATTGAAGACATTTGGGTTTTTTCCCTGTGTAATCTAAAATTCTTGGATGTGCCATTTGCATTGTTTAGGGGTATGAGTAGACTTATATGTCCTTATTAAAACTGATTCTCTTAACACTTTCGTGATCACCAGAAACTGGGAGAAGCTGATTTCAGCTTTTTAGCTGTAGTTGTTCTGGATTTAAGGGGGGCCCCCCTAAAAAAAGGTGTGGGGGGCTTTATTATATGTATTATGTATTTGTTTTGGATGGAATATGAAGCAATTAGAACATGTCATGTGGTTATTGTTTTTTTATTACATTTCTGGTCCTTGTGACAGGAAGAACAGGGATGTTCACAAAGACAGTAAAGACCGGACCGAGGTTCTAGCCCTTCCCAGCTGTATCACAAGCAAATGTTTTGAAGTTCAGTGTGATACATCTATGCGCTAAGGACCCACATGGAAGAAAAATATATTTGAAATATGTTTTAAAATATTCTTCCCAAATATATAGACATATATTTGAAATGCTACAATTTTAACCATCTTCAATATATTTCAAAATATATTTCAATAAATATATATATATATATATATATAATATATATACATATATATATATATATACTGCATGTTGAAATGCGGTTTTTTATATATTACAAAACATATGAAAAATATTTTTAAAAATATATATTTTTAAAATATATTCTACAAATTATTTTTAACATATAAAAAATTATTTTAACATATATTTGTAAATGCATTCCAAAAATGTAGATTTGTATTTTTAAAGACATACAGTATATTTGAAAATGTATTTTTAAAAATATTTTGTAATAATTTCAATATACATATACATATATTTATTTATTGAAATACATTTTTAAATATATCGAATATGGCCAAAATTGTAGCATTTCCAATATATGTCAATATATTTGGGAAGAATATATTCAAATATATTTTTCTTCCATATGGGGAGTTGCCCATTATTTATATATATGTATATACACAGATTGGCAGAGCAAGTTTTGTTCAATGCCAATAATCATGCAGTAGTAGATTTCAGGGTAATTAGTATTATTATTATACAGTATTTATAAAGCGCCAATAGTTCGCTCAGCGAACTATACTAGTATATATATATATATATATATATATATATTAGTATATATAGACCTAAGAGCTAACACTTTAAATATTGTAGCTTTCTGGTTTTTAGATATGGTGTCTGCATTCATTTCTTTTTTTCAGGCTAAGTACCTTTTTTCTGCAAGTACAGAAATAAAACTGCCAGAAATCCAGTGTGAACTAAACTGAAAGCTCAAGTAATGCTATCAGCCTTCCCAATTCTCC